CTTCCTTCCTTCCTTCCTTCCTTCCTTCCTTCCTTCCTTCCTTCCTTCCTTCCTTTCTTTCTTTCTCTCTCTCTCTCTCTTTCTTTCTTTCATTTATTATTTATATAGTATTCTGCCTGCACGCCAGAAAAGGGCATCATATCTCATTATAGATGGCTATGAGCCATCATGTGGCTGCTGGGAATTGAACTCAGAGCCTTTGGAAGAACAGTCAGTGCTCTGAGCCATCGCTCCAGCCCCAAGACCAAGGATTTTAAAAAAGAAAACAATCCCTCTTCCTCAACCTCTTATTTATACATTCAGGTTTTTGTTTAACAAAGATACTTTCAGAAACATTGAGTCCTTTGAAAGTTGTTAATTTGTTCCATTATATAAATATAAACGGTTTCTTTGATAGAGATTGAAGTGTAGAATTGTCTTCATGTTGTGTTTATTTATGTATTTATTGTTATTGTTTTATTGAGGTAGTCCAGGCTGGCCTCAAACTCATAATCATCTGCCTCACCTTTGTGTGTGTTGAGATTGTAGGCCAGTTTGTGTTGTTGCTTTTATGGATAGCTATGCTAGTAAAAGGAAGCTGACAATTATATTATGTATCAGGATATGAGAATCATCTGTCTATTGAAACTTTGTTTCATAAATATTGTGTTTATGTATATATGTAGGCTTTGTGCTGTTTTGTTCTATTTACATTATCATGTTGCTTGTGCTCGACATGTTACAATGAAACAAAGGTTTTAAAAGAGTGAGGCACCCACAGAACAGTTGAAGGTATGTCTTTGTCAGCCACCAGTTGTCTTTGAGGTAGCTTACTGTCCTTGAAGAAGAAAAGGACTGTATGCAGTCTTCCCAGATCCTAGATTGCTAGGCTGTCTTTCACTGGCGCTGTGGCAGTATGTTATGGATGGAGACCTTGATCTTGGCAGTGGGCTTCCTCTTCCGAACCAACCCCTGATGTGGTGGTCACATGCTTGTGTGCTTTTGGCTATTGTCTGTTCCCTTCTTGGACCTCAGCCAAGCTGAGTACATCTCTCCTGGTGGTTTCAAGCCCTGCTGACTGTCCGCAAGTTGGATCAGCAGGGGAGCAGTAGTTTGACAGTCCCATCTTTGGAGCAGTGTGTTCTCAGAGGCAATGGTCTGGTTCTCTGATTTCTGGGCTTTGCTTTTGAATGTGAATTGTCCCAAGCTGGCAAAGAAACTAGCAGCTGCTGGAGTGCTGGGCTTGGAACCAGGTAAGATGGATTTTAATTGCTTATTTCCGTTTCTCTGGCACCAGTTGATTGTGGAACAGCAGGATGAGCAGTTGGAGCTGGTCTCTGGCAGCATCGGGGTGCTGAAGAACATGTCCCAGCGCATCGGAGGGGAGCTGGAGGAACAGGCAGTGTGAGTAGTGAGCTGCCCTTATCTGCAGTGTCGCTGGGGGGGGGGGGATCCCTCCCATGACACCCTGAAAGCCTAGCAGTGAATTACATGGTTGTTAAGGAGAAAAGCTACTTAATTTATGGTTGCAGTTTTTACTTTGTTGTACAGAGTGGCTCTCCCCAAGAAGCAAATCTCCCAGATAGAATTCCAACTGTGGTGTAGGCAAAGCTGTTACTTTAAAAACCCTTTAAAAGATACACAAATTTCTCTGATCATAGTTAGGACTGGGAAGAAGCTAGGGCTGTGACCGTAGGAGCTAGTGCTCTGAAGAGGATGACAGCCTGAAGGGTGATGTGTGAAGGTGGTGTTAGGACTGTCAGCTGTCATCCCAGGACCTACCACATTGAACATAAATCATAACAGTATAAAAGAACATTTAGATTTTATTTTAATTAGCAAAAAACAATATTCTCTTTCAAAACAAAGAAAAAACAAAAACCAAAACATAACTCTTTGAAATTGTTTTTGCTGAAGAACTTGTCTTTTACAGTCTAGAGTATGATAAGCAAAGACGGCTTTCTTGAATGCTGCCATATGATACCATTCTACTTATCTTTTCCTGGGTGGATGGGGATCTCTACCAAGGTGCTCCAGAAACTCCACCCCAGCGTTAATGTTCACTGTTACACATGCTTGTCACCAGCTCTCCCTAGGCACTTGTTCTGCACCAGGCTCTATGGGAGGCCCTGGGTATAGGCGTTAGCAGGATAGACACTGCCTGCCATTCAGCTTGTTTGCCGCTTTCCGGGCCCAGCACATACTGCATAAACGAAGGGATACAGTCCTATGGTGGCAGGGGAGAGAGAGCCACTGGCCCTGCGACAGGCCAGTTCAGCCAACTGGAGAGCCCTATTTTTTCCAAGAAAGAGGCTCAGCTGAAACCTGGATGTTTAGAAGATAGGTGGCCGAGAGAGAGCCAGTGACTGCAGATGTTAGTGGTGGGGGTAGGAGGGAAGGAGCTCCTGGGGAGAGTCAGAGGGCAGCAGGGAGAGCCTTGTCAGCGTGACAAGGAGATAGAGCTTTCCCTTTTCAGTGTGGAGAGAGGGTAGGGAAGCAATTTTTGGAGTGATGATGTGAGCAGGTGCTGGTTTTTAGATGGTGTATCAGAGTGGAGCCAGGTGGCTGTGCCAGGTGGAAATCTAGAGTAACAGGAACCCAAACACACGGGGAAGTTTCTATTCAAAATGGAAAGGAGCTGTAGCCACTTTGTTGGTGAGGCAGCTTGAGAAGAGAGACAACCTAAGATATGCCTATTTAAAGATGGTCTGTATCTCCATTCCCTTCAAGTCACCACGGCAATAACAGAAATGGTTTTGCAAAGTTATAAAGAAGATAGAACCGGAACCAGCAGTCACACACCAGCTTAGACGATGGAAAGCGGGCAGGTGGCTAGCTGTGCATTCCGTAGGCCAGAGAAAGCTGACCACCGGGGTGTGAGCGTGGAGCCGCGTGATTCCCACCACAAACCTGGGACTGGCCTGCATCAGCTGGCTTAATGTTAATGTTGAATACTGACCTAATCAAATTGTGACACACCTATATCCGAGAAGTGGGCAGGGTGCAGGGCTGCGAACTCCATGGTCTAGGGCCGAATCCCAGTCTGATAGTGCTGCGCCTTCAAGTGAAGTCCGAGGACAAAAGTCAGCATGGGAGGATACAAACTTGCAACTTCAGAAGTGGAGACCTCCCGGAAGGAGCTGAGGTGACGGGAAGGCATATGGAGCAGACAAGAACTGCAGCTTAACCTAAAATCACTGTCGGACTGTTTTGCTCTCTAAGCTGTGTGTTTATGATCTGATAAAAATAAAAGGAAGAAATATGGGCCTTGGCCTGATGCATGTGCTGTATAGGAGAATAGCCACCATCCTCATGTGGCTACTGAGCACGTGGGATATAGCCAGACTGAATGAAGATGTGCTGTGAGCCAAAAATGAATGCTTGAGTTTGAAGCAGAGGGGCAGAGGAGTTTATTAATAATCTTTATATTACACGCTGAAGTGATATTTTGGATATAGTAGACTGGATAAAAGATAGTTAGAAATTAATTTCAGAGGCCATCTGGTATAGCGCTTACCCAGTGCATAGTCCACAGCCCTGCATTAGCCAGGTCTGGTGGGTCACACATTTGGAGGATAGAGGCAGGAGGGTCAGAAGTCAAGGATCAGTCTTGTAAGTTCAAGGCCAGCCTGGACTACCTGAGAGAGCCTGGCTCAATTTGAAAAACCTTTGAGAAAGCACAGCTGCCAGAAAATGCAGAGTGGCATTTGTGCCCCGCATGGTATTTCTTTTGGGCAGAAGCTTGGTCGTGGCTGTACTTAGCTGAGGATTGATGAGGTGCCTGTTTTAGCTTTAGTCAAACAGTTACGCCCAGCACACACAGTGGCCCCTGTTTTCAGTGCTTGGCCTACCACAGGACCAAAGTGCTGCCAGGATCCAGGATGAGCTCAGTGTATTTTAATTTGAAAACTCAGGTGTAGAACAAAGGCTTACTTACCTAGTTGTCAGTGTGCAGTGTGATAGTTGCCTCAATGAGGATTTGGTGGCTCCAGACCCTGAGGGACTGTCCTGTGTCCTTTGTGGGCTTGTACCCAGAGCAGCGGTTTATAGCTGCCAGTGATACTGTCAGAGTAAATAAGGTCTTTGTAGGAAGCTGTGGTACTAACTGGTGTGTTAATTTTAGCCTCACACTAATCATGTACTAGTCAGAAGTTGAAGTCTGGAATGTGCAGTAATTTATGAAATAAGGGTTGCTAGAATACAACACAGTATTCAGTGCTGTGTTTTCTAGAGCCCCCTCCACACCGTAAACACACACACACCATCCCTACCCTACTCCATACACCATCAGGGGTGTTAGGTCTCTGGCTTTTAACTTTTTGTTTTTTTTAAGATTTATTTATTATTTATACAGTACTCTCCCTGCATGCACCAATAGAGGACACCAGATGTCATTATAGATGGTTATGGGCCACCATGTGGTTGCTGGGAATTGAACTCAGGGCCTTTGGAAGAGCAGACAGTGCTCTTAACCCCTGAGCCTTCTCTCCAGCCCCCGGCTTTTAACTTCTAAGAAGGCAGAGTGCTTCAAAGGAGAGAACCTGTCAGATTTAAAGTACCCTTCTTAACTCACATTGACAAAAGCACTTTTGTGGATCACGTGCTTCTTGCAGGCCCGCCTTGACAGGAATTGGTTTGGTAGAGTCACTCTGTTTAAAAGGTATCAGAAGAGTCTCAAAGAGTTGTTGAAGGTGGCAAAGCCTGGCTCTCTGCTGGCACTGTGCCTGAGCTGGCAGTGTTGTACAGTGAGAGCCATAGTGACTTGTCTGCAGTTCTGAATCTACAAATCCAGGGGTTTCATGTGCAGCAGACTCATGCAATGGAAAACCTCAGCTAAGCTGACTGTTGCTGTGGTTCTCATGGGTTCTTCTGCAGAAAGAAGCATGCTTGATGTTGACTACTCTACAGCATATGAAACTTATCTTTTTATTGAGCATAGATTTTCCAAATTTATTATTATTTTTTTTTTTAAATGTAAGCTGTCCCAAGTATTTGAGGCATTAGAGCAGAATCCTGCCCAGAAGTTCCTTGTTACCTGGCTTGAGAAGGAAGCCCAGGCCTAACTTCATCGCACAGCAGATCCAAGGCTCTGCTTACCACCACACTCTCCTCTCTCTCTCCAGGATGCTGGATGATTTCTCTCACGAGCTGGAGAGCACTCAGTCTCGACTGGACAATGTGATGAAGAAACTTGCGAAAGTGTCTCACATGACCAGTGGTATGTATGTGTAACTCTTGGGAATCCTGCTGAGCTCTGTCTGTGACCCTCTCTTGCCTGAGCCATGTTGTCTGCTGCTCTAGGGTGAGAAAATGGAATTCCAGTGTAGAGGCTGGTGTTGTGGGCCAAACTCTGGAGAAGGGTCTTGTGCCCAACATCTGTTGCTGAGTGTTCTCCCAGTGGAGCAGCTTCCTTGCAATCACAAAATCCTGTTTTTACTTTTTTCTATTTCTCTTGCTACATTCGAGAACGTAACATTTTTCTTCTAATATTTTTGTTTTAGCGTGTGGTGTGTGTGTGTGTGCGTGTGGTGTGTGTGTGTGTGTGTGTGCAGACTTTCTACGGCACATGTGTGCATCAGGCATGGCAGCAGGCTCTTTTGCTCACCAGCCCTAGGGAACTTACTTAAAGTTGCTGTTGATAAACCAGTTGCTTCTTTCTCTGAACTATCTTCCTTTCATCATTAGAAAAATACCTACTACTTCAGACTATGGTGACCTTATAAAGTGCTGTCCTAGCAAATGTGTGCCGGGCTGGGGATGAAGAAGTAAGTTTCGGGCCAGTTACTGTGTGATGTTTTCTAATGACTACATTAGCCTACATTTGTTTTTGTTTTTTTTATTACTACAAATCACCTCCCCTGTAGACAGGAAATGATATATTTTAAGTCAAAACCCAGTATCTCCCCTTTACCTGGAGGGGGTTGCTTGGAGAAAGAACTGAGGCATTTCTTGTGGTTATTTGAGTGCCTTTGGACCATAGGATGCCCTGTCATTAATAGACATCTCCTCCCCAACCCCATTTCCTGACACTTCATTTCCTTGTTGGTGTCCTTGTGAGGTGTATGTGACATGGAAAACTGAAATACAAATGCCTGTGTACTCTTCCGCAGTTTTCCTCCCAGCAAAGTTACAGAATACTGTCTAGCTTTCATTTTTTAACCAAAAAATTGAGGGTTGTGATTAATTTAGTGGTAGAGTACTTAAACCAGGCATGGGTGAGGCCCCCATGTTCTGTGCCAAGAATCACCAAATGGTGAGCACTGAATGAATAATAATGCAAAAGTGTTTAACAGTGTCTTCATGCTCTGTAAACATTTAAAAGTATTGCAAGGTAGAAAAGACCCTAAAGGACAAGGACCCATCAGATCCAAACCAAAAAGAAGCTCGTGTCTAGAGTTACTCCTTTTTCTCTAGTCCAAGTGCCGTTCTGCTTCAAGCAGGTTCTTTGCCCGAAGCTGTGCATATGTAGGAAGCAGGCAGCAGCCCCGTGTGCCTTCCCCTCGATGAGAGATGGGTTGGAAATTTGCTATCTAGTTCCTCTGTTCTCTCCTCTTCTACCTATAGTCCTCTGGCTCATGTATGTATTTGTTTTATGTATGAGTGTGCTATACATATGTGTGTATATGTGGAGACCAGAGTTCATTTTTACTTTACTGTTTGTCTGTCTGTGGTGTGCTTGTGTGCACATGTATGTGTAGGTCAGAAGACAACTTGATTCCTTTTACCGTGTAGGTTCTGGAGATCGAATCAGGTTGTCAGGCTCGGCAGCAAGTTCCTCCCCACTCTGCCATCTCACCAGCCTCTCAGCATTATTGTTGTTGTTATTATTATTAATTTTTATTTTATGCGCATTGGTGTTTTACCTGCATATGTCTGTGTGGGGTTGTTGGGTCCCCTGGAACTGGAATTATAGACAGTGTGAGCTACCATGTGGTTGCTGGGAATTGAAACTGGGTCCTCTGGAAGAGCGGCCAGTGCTCTTAACCACTGAACCACCTTTTTAGCCCTGAGCCTTATCTATCATCTATCTATTATCTATCTATCTATCTTAAGGCTAAGTCGCTCATTAACCTGAACCTCACCATTTTGGCCAGCCTGGCTGACCAGTGTGAAGACCTACTTCTGTTTCCTTTCCTTTCCCCAACCCAGCACTGTGGGTCTAGGCCCATGCCAGCACGCTTGGTGGGGGGGATCCGAACTCAGCTTCTCATGCTTAACCAGCACTCTTCACCCACAGAGTCTTTCTCCTCAGAATCTGTGTATTTTGAAAAAGAATGTTGCTTTAAGGCAGTATTGCATAACCAGTTTAAGCACCAGGCCTGTCACCGTGTGTGTGGTAGTTGTGCAGTCACGTAGCGCCTTCAGCATCCGCTCTGTTAGGGACGAGCAAGTGAACAAACGGGATCTGTCCGGGTATGAAGGAAGTGAAGGAGTAGAGGAAAGTCCTGCCGAGTGTCTGCAGCACCGAAGCTCTCCTGTGCGTTATTCCACTTTCTCCAGAGGGGAAAGTTTGGGAAACAGCATGAGACATATTTGTGTACAGGAGAGAGGGCACGACTGCTCGCTCCGCTGTCTACTGTGCCAACAGAGCAGTTAGCGTGAAATACCTCCGTGTTAACTTTTGCTGCCGAAGATACTGCTTTGGTGCCGGCCTTAGTTTATTGACCAGGCAGTTCGTAATTGTCTCTTTTCTCTTCCATTACTTTTGGTTGAGTTCATTGCTTTGCTATCAAACCTGTACATACAGACAGTCTCAAAACATCAGGGTTTGATGGGAGCAGCTCTGGGAACACGCCAGTGGCTCTCGAGAGCCAGGCCCACCCATCCCTTCTTGGCTGGCTGCTTCATTGGAGAAGTGGGCCAAGACCCCACACTCACTTTTATAAATGACCCTAGAGAGCCAGTAATTTGCCTTTCTCTTACCCAGAGAAAAAATACTCTTTTGAATAATGCCAGGGTTCCCCCCACCCCCCCAACAGTCTGATTGTTTTTTTCTTTTGAAGACAGGAAAATATTTTGGGAAGAAACTACCATTGGTGTTCCTTTTGTTCTGAGCTTGCTTCTGGCAGGACATACAGCTCAGTGGTGGAGCACAAGCTTCAGCTCTGAGTGCCATGCCTGCTACTGGAAAACTGTAGTTAGGACCCCTTCCTTGTGTGCTTGAAGCCATACAACAAGTGTTGAGATGTGTGCTGGGGCGATAGTGCCCTAGGGTTGCCTCATTCATGCCTCACAGAAGCAGCTTAGCCACTTCAAAGAAAATGGCTTTCACAGTGCAGGCCTGGGCTGTGTTAGTTCCTGCAGTGGTCTTCGAGATAGAGCCTGTTAGTGCAGCTACTCAAGAGACGCTGGCTGGAGGAATGCAGAATTTGGACTCTCAAAGGTGGGGTGGGTATAGGAAATCTGGCACTTAGCACGGTGGGATGCTGGAGGGGGGAGGGGCAGGAAGTATGTGTGAGGCTGTGGGAGAGGATGGAGGAAGCAACTCCCTTCTGTGGCTTTGTCTCAGATAAATAGCAGTTGTTTTTAAGAAAAGTGATTTGTAATTGCATTTTTTTATATTAATAAGCTTTCTTCTTTTTTGTCTTTGTTTTTGAGACAGGGTGTCTGCATAGCCCTGTCTGTACTAGAACTCACGGAGACCTGCCTGCCTGCCTGCCTCCCAGGTGCTGGCATTGAAGGTGTAAACATCACACCTTCTCTTCTTTCCTTCCTTCCTTCCTTCCTTCCTTCCTTCCTTCCTTCCTTCCTTCCTTCCCTTCTCTCTCTCTCTCTCTCTTTCTTTTTTTTTTTAAGTTGGGTGTCACTGTGAAAGCCTGGATGGCTTGGAATTTGATATGTAGTCCAGGCTGGCCTCTAGCTCACAGAGATCTGCCTGCCTCTGCCTCCCAGTACTGGGATTAAAGGTGTGCACCACCACCCCAGGCCCATTGTATGGGTGTTGACAAAAATACAACAGGTATCCAACCTCATGCTATCATACCAGAGAGTTTTAGTTCCCTAAAGCTTCTTGGTTAATTTAATTTTTTGGGTTAACGAATATTTGTACATGTTGATGAGCTACAGAGGGATGTTTCGATCAGTGTGTACATCGGGTAGTGATCAAGTGAGGGACATGGAATATCCAGTGCACCTTAACATGTTTCTGTTTCTCCCACGGTCACCGACAGGCTGGCTGAGCCTCTGGAAGTAAAACTCACCAGGGTTGGGCTGCCCTTTAACACGGTGGTTCTCAAGCTGTGGGTTGTGACCCCTTTGGGGGGCTGTCAAATGACCCTTTTACAAGGCACCGCATATCAGATATGTACATTCCGATTTATAACAGCACAGTTGTGAAGTAGCAGTGAAAACTTGATGGTTGGCTGTCACTGCAACACGAGGAACTGTATTAAAGTCGCAGCATTAGGAACAGTGAGAACCACTGCTCTGACAGGTTCTGTTTTGGAGTTGTCCACATGGACACTGCAGCAGCTGGCCAGTCACAGCTCATGGTTCCCAGCTACACAAGGTTGCAGTGGCGGCCACGGCTGGGACTAAGGTAGAGGAAGGAATCACACACTCACAGGCGTGATTCCCACGATTTGTCTGTAGGTTTTCTGTTGTTCAGGGAAGCAGCCCCCTCCATGAGGGACTGGAAACTACAGTCCAGTATCTCTAGAAATGATGAGTGCTAGAGAGCGCGCTTTGAGGCGCTGGCATTTGCCCCTCTATAGACCTCCTCACCCTCAGAGCAGCCTTGCTTCAGACAGAAGGAGTGGGCAGACCTGCGTCCTGGTTACTGGACGAGCTTCTGGTGTGGGGGTAGACAAGGCATTGGCCCAGGAAGAATGTGTTTGTTGCCCTTCTTGGCATTCACAGCTAAGACGCTGATCCCATGGCATGCGTGAAGTACGTGAGTTGCTCTGTGGAGAGTTGTGCCGTTTCTCCAAATTCAGACCATCCTACAGTATGCTTATGGAAGCTGCGCCAGGCTGAAGTCTGGAGCGCTCCAGTAGACGTTAACACCCTTCACACCTTTTCGTTCACCTTTATGCTTCAGTGCTGTCTCACTCCTACCAGCTGGCTGCCTTTCCAGATGATGACACGTACGAGCGTGTGGGGGCTGGAGGTCAAGTTTGAGTGTCTTCCTCGGTCACCTGCCTTATTTTTACTTGTCATTTTTGCTAGAATGGCTGGCCAGCAGGATCTCAAGGCTCTGCCTCTCTCTGCTGCCCACCAGCACTGGGTTCCAGCCGCGTGCTATCATGCCTTCTTTTTCCCTGGGTTCAGGGAGGTGGGTCTCATTCCTGTGCAGCAGACAGTTCTGCACTCTTGTCATCCCTCATCGTCGCTCTTTGCTTTTTGTCCTGTAACAATGTGTATAGCTCTGGCTGATTTGGTATTTGTTGTGTAGCCTGGGCTGTCTGTCTGTGGGAATCCTCCTGTTTCAGCCTTCCTAGTGCTGACTTAACAGGCATACCCAGCATGCCTTGCTTCTGGTAACATTCTTTTGTGTCATCCTGGTCCTTTGTGGAGGACACTAGAACTTGCTAGTGGAAATGCCACTTGCATGGTCCACCGTTCTCCTAGTTATATAAGCATCCTAATGGTGGTGTCTCCGTGAGTGCCTCAGGCTTGGCCCTGTACAGCGTGTGACGCAGTGGTTATTTAACCTTTACAGGGGTCTTGTGGGCAGCTGCTGGACACTCAGGATGTGGGCTTCAGCAGCATCCCTGGGCCTGTCTGCCCTTCTGTCTTACACCCATACAGAGGAACTCTGTCCTCTCTGTATCCTGTGCCACTTGCTCCCAACTCTTGGGCTGAAGGTTTCAGAAAGCATTGGCTGTCATTTACAGACACACGGTGTAAGTCGTCCGCGCACCGTCCCTGGCTCGGGAGTCTAGGTGTGATAGGAAATCAATCATTCTCTGCTGTGGGAGCTTGCTTCTCAGCTGTTCATTTCCTGAAACAACCTGCAGTGGATTTCATCTTCTATCCACCCTCTCACAGTGCTCACGAAGAGAAGAGCATGCGCATTGCATTCTTTGGTGGGAGATTAAAGCAGGAGGGCTTTGATCTGTCACATAGGTGCCAGCAGCCTTTTCCCTGGTGCAGCAACCACCAGCAGAAAGCTAAGATCCATAGACTTCAGCTAAAGGCTCGGGACTCAAAGCCTACACTTCCTGACAGAGTTGTAGATTGTTGTAGTTGTAGGGGTCTGAAGTGTAGACCCCCAGAACAGTAAGGGAGCCTGGTGCCTGGGCAGGGTCAGGATCCGCTCTGTCCCTTCATGTGCATGCTCTGTCCCTCCTCTGCTTCAGCGGTGCTGTCCTTAAGTCTGAGTCCCCATGTCTCAGGGAGGGGAGTGCCTGAGGTCATCTCTCTGTCCTGCCTTCCAGATCGGCGCCAGTGGTGTGCCATAGCCATCCTCTTTGCAGTCCTGTTGGTCGTGCTGATCCTCTTCCTAGTGCTGTGATGATGGCCCTCCTCAGGCCCTTGTGCACGCGGACCGAGGGGAGAGGGGAAGCTCGCACTCCACCACGTACATTCCTCTCCCAGAAACACGCCTCTGCCCTGCTTCCTCTGTGTGACTCCACCACTGAGACGGCCCTCTCTCCCAGCGCTGGAAGGGCAAGCTTGGAAGAGGAAGAGGTGACTGCACTCCTGGCTAGATAGCAGAAGCCCTGGCTGCCTTTTCTTCCTGAGGACAGCGAGCCACTGCTTTGCCTTACTGGACCTGGCTCCTTGAGGAAGGAAGGACTCAGAGTCATCAGAAGAAACTACGGACTCACTCACTCTGTCACTCATTCTGTTGGTCTCTGGCAGCCTTTCCTTCTTCTCAGACCCTTTCCCTGCTTCGATGGGTGCCACTGTCCCTTCAAAAGAAATCTGGCAAGAATGAGGGCATCTAGGGATATACATTTCCCATTGCTGTTGCATTTCTTAGACCCGAGAGCTGGCTGAGGACAGAAGCCTCAGAAACGCCTCGTGACAGAAATGCAGCGCTTCATTTTGCTGGGCGAGACCTGAGATTAAATTGCTCTTCGGGGTGTCTTTGTGGCAGAGTTACGCAACAGGAAATAGTGAAATCTCTGGGGGCTTGGGAGTGCTGATGACAAATAGCTTCAATGGACAGGAGCAGTTGAGAGCAGCAGTACCTGTGTTGGTCCAGCTTATCGAGGGGCTGGTGGTGTCTCCAGAGGCCAGGCCAGACCTGCCGACTTGCTCTGTCCCAGGGTCTTCTCCCAGAGGTGCGGCATGCCTATTTAGTGTGCCCCTCCACACAGTGTGGGACAGCATAGCAGCACTCCGCTGGGTGGGACATGCCTTCTCCTTGATGCTGTTATTCGATGGCACATTTATTATGTCCGTGCAGAAACTATCCTGACACAAAAAGGCTGGTTCTGGACCAGAGGTCCCTCACTCTGTGAGTAACAGCATGGATGGGTAAGAGAACTGGAGACTCTGGTCTCTAAGATGACAACTTGACTTCATCCTCCATTTGAGTAACTGAGCCAGTCCAAATTCACTGACAGATGGTTTATTGGGTTGAAGTAGCTGAAACCGCTGACACTAAACTTCAGGCACTGGGTGACTTTTTAGATGCCTCACATGTGCGCACACATGAGGGATTTTTTTATAACATCCCTGATGTATAATCTGGTATTAAAGTAGCTGTCAGGGCTAGAGCCAGCCTTTCACAATGGAGGCTGCGCTCAGTCTTCTTCTGTGCTGGGAAGAGCAGCATTTGGACAGCTTGACCTTTGACCTCCCTTGCTTTGCCTTTCTGTGCATTCCTTAGCACGCCGACTTTTTAAAAAATCCTGGGTTGTTCATATTCCTTGGGATTTTGATTTTTGGGTCCTTGTTTTGTTTTGTTTTGTTTTGTTTTGTTATTCCCAATGATGTGCTTGCCCGGCTAACTTTTAAATTGCACTTTTAAATAAATATTTGTAACAATTTTTAAAAGAAGGATATTTTATCTCCTTTAGGATCATGATAGGTAATCCACCTGTTGGTGAAAGCTAAGAGAAGATTTGTAGAACCAAAAGGGTGGTCAGCACCGTGTTTACATTCAGCTCTGGTGTTTGAAACAGAGATGATATTTCTTTTCAGATTAGGAGAAAATGTGAATATTACAAAGGGCTTCAATGTAGGGTTCTGTGTTATTTATGTTTCACGAAATTTTAAGGTTTTGAATAGTCTTCTGTGAACTTAGACCATGCACAGTCCTTAGATTTGCATTAAAATATAGAAGCCTTTTGTTAAAAATCAATGTGGGCCTTGTCTGAATACTGTAACCCACACTGCACATTACAAAGCCGTGAGCAGTCCGAGAATTAAAATTACCCCACTTAAAGCATGTTGTCTGCCAGGAGAAGGGTGTCAGAAATGCCCACAGCTGTGATAAGATTCCCCCATCAGGTCAGAGACAGAGGTTTGCTGCTCTGGACTTAGTTTCATTGGATCTATTTTGAGTTGGTGCGTGGGCCTCACTGACTCGCCGTATTTGCTGAACAGTGTTGTTAGATCTGAAACAGGCTGGAGCTGAGCAGCGAGCGTGTAAAGAGATAGTCAACCTCATATGCACGTGTGCTCGCCACGGGCCACAGACTCCTGCAGCAGCTGGCTTAGTCCAGGCCCGTCCTGTTGTGTGGTCACCAGGCACAGGGATCCTTTGAAACTGTGGCCAAGAGGACAGGGACGTACCTTTCTTCCCTAGTGACCCAGAGAGCTGAAGGCGTTCTTCTACATGTCCTAGAATAAGGAAGGGACAGCAGGGGTGCCCACGCCGCTTAGGAGTGTCTCTCCTCCAGCCACCCACCCAGCCTTCCGCACTTGGTCTCACACCATAATATGCCGGTCAACAGAAAGAGCTGAGTGTGTTTACCGGACAAACGCTTAACTGACGGGGGGTGAGACGGAGGACAGCCCATTGAGAGCACTTGTCAGAGTGCAGATCCAACTGGAAAACCCAAATCCCTTGAGCTCTCAGCCCTCTCCTCTGATCTTGTCTTTGTTTTGGCTGGGAAACCACAGTGCTCTGTTTGCTCTGGACTGTGAGGCACACAGAGTTGTCTCGTATGCCTGAGCATGCATGTTGTCTTTTCCTCAGTTTCAGAATTCACGCTCGAGCTGAAGCCGGGAGACTTGGTACCGTGCCCATTATTCTCTGCTTTTAGCCAGAGTTAAACAGACTGATGGGTCTGGTAGCCAACAGCTTGGCAACTTCATGCCTTCTCACCTCGTGCGAGTAAGGGCTGTGATGAGGAATCCAGCCTGACTACAGCAGAAATCTGTCTCTGTTAAGTGTTTACCTTCTGCAAGAACAGGTGCTGAGCCAAAGGCTTTCTTCTGGTGATTTCTCTGCCCACCCCGTGAGACCAGAGGGGCAGGTCCAGAGCTCGAGGGAGGAAGGAGTTGAGGTCACCTCTGTGGACTCGGGGCCATTCGGCTTCACCTTGGGCCACAAAGTGAGTTTATAAACGAACCAGAAATGGATGGTCTGGGAAGCAAGTTGTAAAATGTGGAGTGCAGCCGTTTCCCTCACTCAGACTGTAGAGCCTCCCTCCCAAGTTCGTAGGAATGGTGGGCTTGTGTTTATTTTTTGAAAGTGTGCATCATCTATCGAGAGTAGAGAGAGCGTAAAATCAAGAGTTCCCATGGGTCAGTCCCTTGCTGTGCACCCCAGCCAGTCCCCGAAGAGGAGATTCCCCGACAAGAGGCCTGACCTGGCCACAGGATCCTCCCTGGACCCTCACTCCTGGGAGGGCCTGGTGAGATAGGAGGTGGTCCGTCTTCAGTGTCCAGCTGCCCTTACTCAACTCCCAACTGTCAAAAGCCATCTTTCCCCGAAAATGGCCTTCCTTTTAAGAATGGTGAGACGGGAAAGGCCCACTGCCAAGCCGGATGACCTGGCTTTGACCCCGAGAGCCCACCCAGGGGAGTGAGAGCCAGCTCCTTCAAGTGGTCCTCTAACCATCCATGCTGTATTGTGGGCGCATGCGTGAGAAATGCACAAATAAATAAGTGTCCTTTTTTTTTTTTTTTTTTTTTTTTT